CTGTAAGCTCTTGGAGGATTGGCTACATTAGGGGTGTGTCGCCTAATATGCAGAGGAGTTTCTCTGCAAAAGAGCCCTGGATAGAATTTAGGGCTCTTTTTGTAGCAGAAATTCCTCTGCATATTAGGCGACACCCCCCCCCCCCAATGTAGCCAACCCTCCAAGAGCTTCCAGAGCTCTTCTTCCAGGGGCTACCGTAACCTCTTGGAGGATTGGCTACATTAGGGGTGTGTCGCCTAATATGCAAAGGAGTCCCTGCTACCTAAAGAGCCCTGCCCCTTCTGCAATGGAGGCCTCGAGCCCGGCACCAACTCTCAGTCTAGCCTACCTCGCAGGGTTGATACGAGCGAACGGAAGAGGGGGAGGGGGATACTCGGTTCGCTTCGAGTCCCGGCTGTGGGGAGGGAAACAGGACGTGAATAAATACCTGCAAATGCGTGAACTGCAAAGTCTGGCTTTCTTCGTCGCCCTGACCCCCCAGTGCCTTCAGCTACTTCGAATACTCCTGAAACGGGAGGGGAGCGCCCCTGCCGGCTGTGGAATGGAGGGGCTGCAGCTTTCCCCAGAAATCCTGTCTCCTCCCTTAACCTATCAACAGCTGTAGGAACGAGACAGAGAACAGAGTGATTGACACTTGGAATTCACTGCCACAGGAAGGGGTGGCGGCTACAAGCATGGACGGCTTCAAGAGGGAATTAGATAAGTATATGGAGCAGAGGTCCATCAGTGGCTCTTAGCCACAAGGTATAGCTAGGGGCTCTGGGGCAAGGGATGCTCTGTCTTCTTGGTGCTTGGGGGGGGGTCAACAGTGGGAGGGCTTCTGGTGTCCTGGCCCCACTGGTGGACCTCCTGATGGCCCCTGGTGTTTTTGGCCACTGTGTGACACAGAGTGTTGGACTGGATGGGCTTTTGGCCTGATCCAACATTGGCATCTCTTATGTTCTTAACATTAGGCCCTCCCAAAGATAGAATCATAGAATGTTAGAGTTGGAAGGGACCTTGCCGGTCATCTAGTCCAACCCCCTGCACTCTGCAGGAGCCATCGCCGAAAGAGATCCCTACAACATACCCGTGGGGTACGGCTCTTCCTCATGGCTGGGGGTGCTGAAGGGGGTGAGGAGCGAGGGGGGGAGACGCCTTTTACTCCAGGCTGGCAGGGAAGGGTGAAAACTGATGATGCCAGCCCCCCTGCTGGGCAAGCTCGGGGTGCAGAGGTTGCTCTGTTCCTTTAGTGAGGGAGATCCTCCAGGCCAGCGGTTCATAAGACATCCAGGCGAGAGGCTGCAGGGTTTGCAGAGAGGGCAGCGCGTTGTGCCCGGCTTGGGTGAGAGGCCCAGGAAGCAGGGGCCAGGTCGGAGATTCGTCTGCCCGTGTTCCTGGGCTGTGGCCAGGAGTGGGCCCCGAGTCCAGACTGCAATGCCAGAGCGAGTGATTTCGGTGGCCTCAGAGCCACACAGAGAAGAAGAGATTGGATTTCTACCCCATGGCCCTTCACTCCCCGAAGGAATCTCGGAGCGGCTTACAAACTCCTTTCCCTCCCCACAACAGACAGACACCCTGGGAGCAATGCTCCCTCTAAGCTGTGGAGTCCTGTGAGCAAAAATCCTACTTTGTGAGCTCCTGGCCTTAAAGTTGTGAGCGAGCTGTTTGGCTGCGGCAGAGGGGGTCCTCTCTGCTCCACCCCAAACCATTTGTACATCGTCCTCCCGATTTATTTTTTTGGAGTGTTTGGCTGCGCTTGAAGGGGAGGGGCGGCTATTAATCTCCTGGGCTTTCCTGGACACCCTGTGGTTGCAGGTTTGTGCATTTCACAGGAACCGCCACTGCTGTGGTTTGTTATTAGTGCAGCGCCTGTTAGCTTATTGTGTGTCCTTTTGACAACATAAGAGAAGCCCATGTTGGATCAGGCCAATAGCCCATCCGGTCCAACACTCCTGTATCACACAGTGGCCAAAAATACCAGGTGCCCTCAGGAGGTCCAGCAGTGGGGCCAGGACACTAGAAGACCTCCCACTGTTGACCCCCCCCCCAA